ACACAGAGGGGCTCTGGACGCGGCAGTGGGGTGTGGGCAGCAAACAAACATTGATTCAGATCAGGCAGTGCGAGGGACAAGCTCTGGCAGGCGCTGCTGGGCCCCGCTCCATCTGACTGAGGCCACTGGGCGGAATTCCAGGGATTCTGGGGAATGACTTGGTCCTGTGACTCAGACATTAATCGGGACCATAAAACCAAGGAGAAAAGTATGTGCTTTCAAGGAGGTTCTGTCAAACAAAGATGATTTAGGGGGGCAGAGGGTGGAGGACAATGGGAACGCTCCTCTCCCTCATTCATGCGGTATTTTTGGCGTGGAATTCCCGAGCGGAGTCTAGTGCCCAGGGCAGTACAGCAAGGGCTTCGGCGGGGAAGCCCAGCGCGCGGCCCGAGCCTCCCACCCCCACTCGCTTTGGCTGTAGAACCCTCCTTTGTGTCATCCGCTCGCTGGTTGATTCACCGTGGTTGTTAGGGGTCTGTGTTGTGGTAACCTCACAACATTCCAGTTTCGAGGGGGTGTGTCTCCCACACTGCGGGCTTCCTTTCCAGCCCCTCAGCAGACCAGCCCTGTTGCTGGGGCAGGGGAGGGAGGGAAGGAGAGAGAATTAATATTTGGGCTTCCTGTGCTGCCTCTTAATTCAGTGAAACTTGTTTTCACTATTGCCTTTTTTTTTGAGGTCTGCTGTTTTTTTCTGTTGATTTTTTTTTTGGGGGGGTTCTTTGTTACTTCAGACTTGTTTGCTTTCCTTTTGTGGGAAAAAAACTCAGACTGTTTCATTTGTACTTTTTCTGTTGTGACTATGATTTTGGAATGAAACAATAAAATCTATAGTTTTTTTTTTTTTTTTCATTTTTAAAAAGTACAACCCCCACCTTAAATCCTCCTTATTGGAGGTGTAAGTGACTTGCTTTTCAAAGACACTGAAAAGATTTCATTACAGGCTAGCTCGGTACCTAAGAGGTTTTCTTTTTTTTGTCTTTTTGAGGCAGGGTCTCGCTATGCAGTTCAGGCTGGCCTTGAGCTCACTTGGTAGCCCAGGCAGGTCTCGAACTCACAACGATCCTCCTGCCTCAGCCTCCCGAGTGCTGGGACTCCAGGCCCTAAGAGCGTTTCAAATCAGGTATTAACAGTCTCTTTCCGCTAATGCTCCCAAGGACAGAGGAAACCGTTCCCCTCGTTAGGGTGGAGCCCTGCCAGCCCGGTTTCCCACCCGCACCCTGCAGCGAATTATTTTAGAGCCGTTGGAGATGGGTGTGGCGCTCCCTGTCGGTCTCCCTCCCTGTTTTATTTTCCTACACAGACTCACTTTCCCTGATCAAGGGCTGCTGTAAGGAGGCTGGCAGGTTCCCATCTGTCCCTGGGAACGCAGGTGGAGGTGCTCATCAACAGATCGAGTTGCCTGATATCTCTTTCACCTTTGCAAGTTGAAACCTGTCGGCCACCTGGGTGAGGCGCGGGTGTGGAGAAGAGCGAAGCAGACCGCTGTTTCCGTGTTCTGAGAGGAGCTGGCCGGCAGGGAGAGGCTGTTGTGCTTTGAGAGCTCGCGGTGCACCCGAGATGAGGAGCTGGAGTACAGCAGGCTCTGAGAGCACTGGGAAGAGGTCATTTTTAATCTTCAGAAGAATAGGTACACTAAAGGCAGAGGCTTCCTTCAGCAGGAAAATCCGGGCTCCACAGCTAACGTTTCAGAGGCCAGGGAGAAGTATCTATGCGGTCACAGCCGCATGTCCACGCAGGGCTCCGTATTGCTGCAATCACTCTTGCTTAACTTTGCATGACTCGGACACTTCCCAGGGTACCGCGTTGGACTTGGTTCCTTTTCTTATCTGTCCTCGAGTTCTCCGCCACCCTGGGCGAGCCGCCCTTCTCCCTGGCCAGGGCTTCCCGCATTCTCTAGCTGGGTCCTCTCTGATGAGTCAGGCTCCCAGCCTTGGCCTCTGAGACTCCGTTGAGCCCCAGGCCTGTCGCTCTGTTAACCCTCTGATGCTGTGCTTGCGCTGGGTCTTAATCTTCAGGAAAGAAGGGCTGTAGTAGCGGGGTCTAAAGGACACTGGCCAGGCCCGAGGGGCTGGGGGTCTGGTCCGGCCTCTGCCTTTCATTTGCTGGGGGTCCTGGCCTGCCCTGTCCAGTGTCTCCCAGAGGGAGGGGCAGAGGCTGCGTTTCTCAGTTCCGTAGGTGTCCCTCGGAGAGGGAGGTGTAGGTCAGGCAGGCCCAGCATGTGCCTGTTCATGGGTTTGCAGATGGACTGCTTGAAAATCCCCAGTACGTGTAGCCTGCAGTGCCGTTGCCGAGTCACACTCCGTCGGTCAAAGGTACTGCATTAAACTAGTGTTTTCACAACCGTGGGAACGGCGAAGCCAGCTGTTTCTCCTAGCAACCCGTCAGTGCTTCTCACAGTATCTCGAATTTCTAAGGTGAGCGTGTGTTTGTATTCGGTCTCATGAAATTCCCGATGTTGACTGGACGCAGGCACGTGCAGGGAGTATTAGCCAGCTTGCTGGGTGTTGCTCTGTTTTAACGCAGAGTGGTTATAAGCGATACAAACGCTCCGCATAGGAAACAGAAGCACAGTGTTCTCTAAAGTTCGCGTAGCACCTAGAGAGCTGATGGCGAACCTTTTAGAGACCGAGTGCCCAAAGTGCAGCCCAGAACCCACTCACATCTGCAGAGTGCTGACACTGCCGTTAAACCTGGTGCTCCACCGCTGGGAAGACCCTGGGTTAATGCGCTCGCGTGCCGACAAAAAGGGGTCTGCGTGCCGGCTGCAGCCAGAGGTTCGCCGCCACTGACCCAGAGTGCAAAGGTGCTTAAGTCTGTGTGTATGAGGGAGGGGGCTGAGTAGGAGTGATGGTAAAACACACCCCTTCCTGCTCGGACTCCTACCCAGCAGCTTGTAGTTTGAACCCTTGTCACACGGAGGGCACTTGCCACACTGCTTGGATGAACGAGGTGGGCTCCTGGGGCTGGGGATGTGGCTTGGTGGTGGAGCATGGCCAGGTCCCTGGGTTCCACCTCCAACATGGAAACAAAATTGGGTGTGATATTGAGAGGCAGGACACAGCTACATGGAACCGGGCCGTCACTGCCCTCTTGGGGCACATGCCGAAGTAGTACAGGCTCAAGGGACGGGTCGGCTTGCTGTACAAAGAAGGTGGTGAGAGGAAGGTGGTGTGGGAGGAAACAAGAGCCATAGATGGGGTTAATGGAGGGGGGGTGCCATGTTCGGGGAGAGGCAGGAGCGGTCTGGCCCAGTCCCCTTCAGTGGGGAGTAGAGGGGCGGGAGGCTGCTCTCGCTCATCCTCGAGGGCAACTTAACCTACATGGGAGCAACTGCCGCTCCCCTGTTTTGTTTAATTATTTCTTTTCAGCACTAAATACTATTTCATTTTCTGGGTGGTCTGTAGCTCATCTCTAGAGCAAGCTTTTTACCGTCCTGGGCAGGACGTACTGGCAGGAGGAGGCCGCCAAGGGCTGCGGGACTGGGCCGCTCGGAGTGGCGGTGACCGACTTCCTTTTGCCTGGTTTGAAACACACCTGTGGACTCGGAGGGGCGGCTCACCCCCGTCGCCCTGGCAGTCCGAGAGGACCTCAAGCTTGAGGCCAGCCTGGGCGACTGAGATGGACTCTGTGTCAAAGTAAAATTTGTAGAGGGTTGGAGATGTAGCATAGCACTAGAGCACTTGCCTGTCGTGCGTGAGGCCCTGGGGTCAGCTCCTAGCGCTGCAAAAAGCAAACAGCAGCACACCTGTGAGCATCATGAGCCAGGCGAGAGCGCAGGATGAAAACCTTGCAGAGATCCGTGTGTAACCACAGCCGGAGGTGAATCTTCTCATTGTATCCCCTCACGCCCCAGCCTGCACGGGGCCTGGAACCGGCTTAGTATGAAAGTGTCTTATAAATTGGCAAAGGTCTTGCCGAGTGTGATGGCGCACACCTGTAATCCCAGCAAGCAAGAGGCTGAGGCAGGAGGCTCGCCATGAGTTTGAGGCCAGCCTGAACTACATCGCAAGACCCTGTCCAAATAAATAAATAAATGGCAAAGGCCTATGTCAGATACTCTCTGCAAACCAGTACTATGAACATGTTTAGACTAAGCAAACAATCTGGCTAGAGAATAGGGAGGTGAATTTCCATACGCCTGTTTCCTTGATCAGAGAACATTAAGCAAAAAGAAACCTCAGCAGCAGTTGCAGTCATTCAAATGTTCCTGAGGCTTTCAGGATTTTGCCCCACCCTGTTTGCTTAGTTTTGGGGTGATTATGCAGACTACCCTATCTTGTCTCAGCTAAAATGCACTTACTGCCAACCGAGTGGGTGGGGCGTGGGGCGGCCATTCTACAAACCAAGTGGCTGTTGCTGCTGCAGAGGAGATTTACCCTGCGGTGGGGACGCTGCCCAGGCCAGTGAGTTACTGGCTGGAAGAAGCAGACTTCACGGCCACCATTTTGACTCTTAATTCAAGACGGTCAGTCCTCTGTGGGCTGAGTCAGGACGGGAACAAGCATCTCAGTCTTAGACACAGTTCCGCACCTTCTCGGCATCGCTGGGTTAGGGAGAGCGTTGAGGACCTAATAATACAGGGGTCCACTTAGGAATGGGCGGCGTGAGAATGCTGTTGATGTCAGCTCGGCCCTCACCATGTGTTAAACTGCTCGGGAGACAAACGTACCTCTTGTTCTGAGAAATAGAAGACTCGGCTCTCCTTCTGACCGAGCTGTATTAGCTCAGGAGCCTTTGTTTTTGCACACACAGGGGAGTCTGTGCAGGGTGTGTCTGTCCTCAGCAGGACCGGCTAGCTCAGGAGTCCATCCCCAACCTCAGGGAGATTGGCCCCGAGTTTCCAAGGCCCTAACTGTGAGATGGGAATCTGTTCCCCAAAACTGCTGTCGTATCCTCAGATGAAACGGTCCAAGAAGTAGAAATTAGCAGAGTGAATGTCAGCCTTGGGGGAAAGGAAAACCTCCTTATAAAGACTTTTTTGTTGTACTTTTTCTTTCCAGCTCCTTCAAAATGTCTACTGTTCACGAAATTCTGTGCAAGCTGAGCCTGGAGGGTGATGTGAGTACAAAAATTTTCACTTTGTGTAGTTTTTGCACGTCGGACATCTCTGCATAGCTGTGCTCTTTCCTTGCATAGCCGAGGAAAGTGGATGCAGACCTCCGTCCTTCCTGGGTCTTCCCCTCTTCCCCTCGCTGTGGCTGTTCTTGGAGTTCAACTTGAAAAAATGTGACACGCCAACAGCCTCAGCACCACATTAACATTGGGCAGAGTGAGAGACACCGGGCTGCCTAGAGTTACATTCCATCATGTTTATCGTGTCAGTGGTGATCACTGTTACGATGATACGGGATTTTTTAATGTCATGCTTGTGACTTTATTTCTGTTTAGCATGTACTTCAGCCATATCACAAAATCATTCTGCGTCTTTTAGACTCTCCTATAGTGCAAAGGATATTATTCCAGACAAGGACCTATACTTTTCTTTTTAAAATTTAGCACCTGGGAAAGCTCTTCTCCAAAAAAGCCAGGACATTCTTTTTTTTTTTAAATGAAATTACTGTAATTCATCATATTTTGGTTTGGCTGTCAGGGAGCTCAGAATTAAATTTGTCTTTCACAGGAAATATGGGAACCTGGAGCACCTATTTCTTTCTTTCATATGAAATTTTTAAAACTATATATAAACTATTGCAACTACTTTCAGAATCAAGTGGAATATACATTATGAATATATAAAAGAGCTACTAAGTACCGTACATTTGCCAGGCCATCTTGGCAGAAAGGGTTCTACAGAAATTCAGCCCTGATGCTAGTTGGCATGAAGCCACATCTTGGAGACGTTTCACAATATATACTCTCTTTTTATTTTTTTGTGAGATTGGGTCTCGCTGTACAGTTCAGACTGGCCTTGAACGCACTTTGTAGCCCAGGCTGGTCTCGAACTCACAACGATCCTCCTGCCTCAGCCTCCCGAGTGGTGGGATTACAGGCGTGCACCACCACACCCAGCTATAATATATACTCTCATTCAAATGAAAATTTAAAGAATCCCTCAAAAGGAACTGACAGCCTGGGTCACGTGGCACAAACACCCTCTCCGTTTTCTCTGGCACCGGCCATCAGAATGCGGAAGTGAATGGGTCTGAGCAGGCCTTGGTGGCTTGGAGGGTGGAGCCTTCCTCACAAGGTTTAGTTTTGCTTTTTTAAGTCTCCCTTCTGGGAGCTTGTTTTGTTTGTTCCTGGCAATGGTACCAGCTGCCTGTTAAGGCCTGCATACTTGCAGGTGTTAGGGGATTTGTTTCTCTAATGGATTTGATCTTTAGATTGTATTTAGTATCAAGTTACAGGAGAGCTATTAGGTCCCTTTGAGAGTGTCCCTTCTCCAGTGTGACACATTTCTCCGTGTTGGGAGCCTGGGCTCATAAAAATGTCACCTGTCTCCCAACATTGTAAAGGCAGAGAAGACCGTTTTTGCCCCAGTAACTTAAGTGCATCTTATAGGTAAAAGGTCCAATTGTCTGTTTCATTCTGTTTCTAGAGGTACTTTAAGACAACATAACACTTTAACCAATTACTGCTGTTTTCTAGTACAATGCTGTATGACCAAGTAAGGCCCTGTACATGATAAGGGTGGAGGCCAGGCTGCCTGCCGTTGTAAATTAGTAACTGACGGCACTGTTAGTACGTGGGAAAGTATTTTCCCTTAGATTTCCACCCACATTTTGTGGCCACCATACGAAGTACAGTAAATATTTCAAAACAGTGCTTTGCCTTTGTAGTTCCCTGAACCTTTGTTCCATGTCCATGGAGTTCTTCTCCTGAAAGGTTGGAGGAGTGCGATTAGAGGGAACATGCTGTGGTCATCTATTTATGTGTCACGATTGTGTTACCCAGGTTTATCATTCATCTAGTACATGTGGAAATGCATGCGTGACCCTGAGTTTAGATCCCTCCCCTGCCCTGGGAGGTTGAGAGAGTGGGTGCTTACGGGTTAACCTCATTGCTGCGAAGCACAAAGGTGAGCTGGGCATGGTGCATCCCGCCTGTACCCCCAGTAGGGTCACGGATTCGAGCCCAGCGTGGCCTATGCAGTGAATTCCAGGTCAGCCTGGACTACAGAGCGAGAGCCTGTCTCAAAACAGTAACAACAAGTAATGCAGTGGGCGACGTGGGTGCTGGGCTGGATGGGGTGTGAGGCCCGAGGCAGGACGGAGGGGTAGGCCGGGACACTGTGGAAGCTGAGTCAGGACGCCGCCTTCACAGGGCACAGCACTGTGGACTGCAGAGGGGGCGGTGGGGATGTTGTAGGAGGGGACAGTGGTGGATGGCTTTGCTGCCCTCAGCCACCCAAAGCCACAGTGTCTGCCCTCCCCTGTGGGCTGGGTGCCCGGCAACGTGAGTTCCTGCAAAGGTGAACTGCTGGAGGCTGACCTCCCGCATGGGGTGGGTGGGCTGGGGAGCTCTCCTCTGTGCCCCGAGGAAGGTGAGGGCTGTGACGGGCGTGGCAGGGGGAGGGCTGGTTTGGCACACAGTGCAAACACAGCAGAAGGGACCACGTTGTTGCAGAAGGTAGTGGAAGAGGAGAGAGAGAAGCAGGCACTTGGCCGTCCAGAGGGAACGTGGGCCGTTTCCCCAGACCACCTTGGTGCCAGAGCAGGGGATGAGGGAGATACTTCCCGTGCTTATCTGATAGACATGTCTCTCTCTCTTTCTCGCTCTGTGTCTCTCTGTCTCTCTCTCTCTCTCTCTCTCTCTCTCTGAGTCTTGCTGAATTTCTCAGGCTGCTCTTGAACTGCAGATCCCCCTGCCTCATCCTCGAAGTAGCTGGGATTTACATTTGCCATTTAAAGATTTGAGAGCTCAGCAATACAGGCCCAGGGGACGTTCGTGTGCCCGTAACAAAAACTTGGCAAAACATTCTAGTCATTCAGGCATTTCCACCTTTCAGCTTAGTTCAGATGGTTGCTAGATCAGTGTCATGGTCACAGCCTTCCTGAATAGATGCTGGTCTCAGGTTCCGCAGCCTGGCATTAACTACTTCTGTGCTCTGTCTCACTAGAAGGCCAAAAGTAGGAATGCAGACAGTGCGCTCTGCCCCAGGCGGGCCTTGGAACGAGTCTCTTGGAAGGACGAGCTAGCTGTGCCGTGGGATTTACGACAGTGGCGTGGTTCATACTCTGCTGGTGTACGAGTGATTCGGGTGGCTGAAGGAAGCAGAAGGTCCGCTGTGGGACTCTGAGGGTGCTGACGGGGTCTGTGTTTTACCCTCAGCACTCCACGCCCCCCAGTGCCTATGGCTCCGTGAAAGCCTACACCAACTTTGACGCCGAGCGAGATGCCCTGAACATCGAGACGGCCATCAAGACCAAAGGTGAGTGACACAAAGCGCCCTCCTCCCAGCCGCGGGGTTCCACTGAGGACTCTGCAGGTCTGCTCCACCTTCCCGCCACGCCCCTGCTTTGCTCATTTGAGGGGCCGTGGGGCTTTAAGGGGGCGGAGCCAGACCTAGGCAGCCTGTCCCTTTCAGCTTTGCTCCTGGGCCAGAGTGGGGCCCCTGCAGTTCCTCCTGGTGCCTGCAGCTCGGCGGCTTTCCTAGAGTTCCAGGATGAGTGGGAGGCGACCAGGCCACATAAAGCCTCCATCTCTTTCGAAACAAAGCAAATGAAGCATTTAATTGGGTTGGGTTGGGCAAGAACCCGTTGGGGTCAGCGTGTCTTGCAGGTGTACAAAGTAGATACGCAGCCCTTGGGGCTGGTGTTAGCGAAGCGGCCTTCCGGGTTGGGCTACACACAGCCCGAAGCCCTGGAATCCTGGCCGCCGTATGTATGTTCGTTCTTAGGCTTCCCCAGCTTCTCCCTTGGGACCCAGCACTTCCACCACGAGGCAGGAAGGAGAGCAGGGAAATCCCCCTGCACCCTGCGGTTCTAACAGAACACAAGGGTTTCCACCACCTGCCCCTCAGCAGCCTTGCCTTCCACAGGGGCCATCATGGGCCACCTTGCCGTGGCTGTCAGCTCTGCCGAAGGGGAGAAGTTGTGAGGGATTCTTGTTAGACCTTTAAGAAATCTTCTTCACTGGTGATTTTACTTTATTTTGTTTGTCTTGTACTATGGCTTGAATCCAGGGTTAGTCTACCGCTAAGCCACATCCCTAGCTTATTTTGTTTTTATTTTGAGACAAGATCTTGCTCGATAGCCCAGGTTGGCCTCACACTTTTGATCCTCCTGTCTTAGCCTCCTGAGTGCTGGGATTGTAAGCATGCGCTACCACACTTGACTTGTGGTGCTTTTTAACTGAATTCTTGTCAAAATCGGAACAGGAGACTAAAATCTAAAGGGCTGTCTCACTACAGTGCTAGTGAGAGAAGCAACCCTGAGTTCAGAGGCTGGTCTGCCACATGCTGATGATTCAACTCCAAGAAAACCCTGGGCGCCGTGAGACGCCATATCCTCACCTGTGGAGTGGGGCTAGAGCACCCACATCACACGCGTGGTTGTCGTGAAGTTGGAAGCACTTGGTGTAGACAGTGCTCGAAATACGTTACTATAGTAACAGGCGGATACAGGCTCGGAGGCTCACTCCTGTCATCCCAGCACTCCAGGAGGTGGAAGCAGGGGGATCAAAAGTTTGAGCGCAGCGAGGGAAAGTTTGTGACAGTCCCAGTGGCATAAAACAAAGACAAGAACAGAGAGAGACAAGGAACATGCATACCTGTGGTCCCTCGCCTAAAACTCGCCCTTCTTCTTACTGGGTGTGCCTGGGTGCGCGTGGTGTCCCAGTGACCTTGGCGAGTGACCCCAGAGCTCAGCAGGTGACTCATTTGACGGAGACACGGTGCCTTTTATGGGCTGAGACAAAGGGTGCTTTCATCCCTGCGTGAGAGCTTTTGGTGAGAGCTTGTCGACCACTGGAATGTAAAGATTGCGCAAATGAACTGTGGTCACAGCCAAAGCGCTCTTGTTAATAAAAATACCTTCAGGCCCTTTCTGAGTGAGTACAGAGACACTGTAGTTCCCAGCAGACGTCAGGTGGGGGACGCTGGGGTTCCTGCATTCCAGTCTGGTCAGAAGCAGCTGACACGTTGTGATTCCTGACAGCACTTGGGGCACAGTTGGCCTAGGGAGCTTCAGATCCGCCGCCGCTGGAATTTCCCCCTGCTCGCTTTGTGGGTGACTCAGATCAGGTTGTCACACCGGTGCTGCTACCCCTGGCTCCTGCTGAGATTCGAACTCAGTTCTGCCCTGCTCCGGGCTCCATGCGTGGATTCTTAGGCGCAGCATGTGGCGCCCAGCTGTCGGGATCAGAGCTGTTCTCAGAGCCTTGAACTATTTCCAGGCATGAAACATGCTGTCCAGCTGCGATCCCGTGGTCATCCGATAGCTTCACATTTGTCACCCAGCCTTGCTGAGGGCCCCTGGCTCTTGGTTTTTCCGTACTTAACCCTCCGGTGGGTTTCCCTAAGCACCACTTTTCACTTACTTTTGGTGCCTGCTGATTTTAGAGAGCAGCTGTTGTCTCAAGTCCTGTCCATTGGTTATTTAGATTAATTTCTATATTGCCACTTAGAAAAAAACCTAAATCCTTGCAGGAAATGCTTGGAAAGAAGGAATGTCACGTCCATAAGAGTTCAGTGTACTGTTAGCTGTTCCTATCAACCCTGTCTGTGACAGTGAAAACCCGGACCTGTCGTGCATTGAGGAGTGATTAAATCACTCCAGGATGTCTAAAGAAAGTCACATTGGTGTGAAAAGAAATTTCATGAGCCAGGCATGGTGGCGCACGCCTGTAATCCCAGCACTTGGGAGGCTGAGGCAGGAGTTTGAGACCAACTTGGGTTACATAGTGAGTTCAAGGCCAGCCTGCATTACAGAGGGAGACGCAAGATCCCCTTTTCAAAAAAGAAAGGGCATTAGTAACAGATCCACAGAACTGAGTAACTGACTTTGGCCTTTCACTGTGTTCTGTATTGTACAAGTTTCCTAGAGCGAGGTGTTTTACCTGCGTAATGAACGGCGGCAAACGTAAAAGCAGAATGGCCTCGCCAGTTGGAGAGGTAGCGCCATTCTGACCCTTTCTCCGTGGCCCTCAGTGTTTCAGATGACGATGCCACTGGTGACCTGGGTGTCACTCGGGTGCTCGCGCCAGCCCCAGCCCCAGCCCCAGCCCCTCGCGAGATTCTTTACCTGAAGCTGGTCTTCCCTTGACGTCCGAGAAAACAAAGGGGAAATACAGGGGCTGAAATAGACGCAGGCCAAAGGCCGGGCAGCGGTGTCCCCTGGCCCCTGCTAGACGGGGATGGCGCTGTGCGTGCCACCCGCAAGAGCAGGGGCACCCCCTCCGGTGTCCTGCTGTCCCTCGGAGAGAGAGGCTGGAGCCGGCTGGGGGCAGAAGGGGCACACGGGGCGGAGATCTGTGGTTTCGCCACCCACGCCAGTGAGAAGTCCTAGGTGCTCCCCTCTGTCTGGTCGCCATGGTGATGAGGCTCTGGGCCGCACCTCACAGGTTTTCTCCCTCACCTGGCCTGCGGCTCTGTCCCTCTCTTTGGCGCCCTGCCCCCGGCCCTGCCCCTGCCCCTCTCTCTGCAGGTCCTTGTGCCCTCCCTGACGTCGCGTCCCCTTCACCCTCCTGCACAGCTCCCGTTGTGCCCCACGCTGTCATTGCTTTCTTCCGGATTCGTCTCTCCTGAAGGGCAGAGACTTGATTTCACGAGCCTTTCCTAATGCCCAGGCCCACGAGGCTTTGAGAAGGTGCAAGTCTGAACCCAAGTGGCAGTCAGGGGGCCCGCAGGTGGGAGCGGCACACGCAGGTACACGCAGGCAGGCAGGCCACAGCAGGCGGCGAGGGATTGTTCCAGGAGCTGGGTGGCATCCAGAGAGGGTGAGAGTCCCCTGCTGAGCTTGGGTCTCTCGGAGTGGCCCGTCCCTTGTCGGGTGGGTGTGTCCAGAGCGCTGCCCAAGCCTCACACCGCCGCTGTGCACGCTCCGGCTTGAGGTAGTGCGTGCAGCCACTTGGGTTAATTTACGTCTAGTTAGCGGCTGAGTTAAACCATGCCAAAGTAGTAATATTGCTTAATTAACAAGAGGTTTCTGTGATTTAATCTGCAGGAGTCTCTTGGTCTAGATTGGCCTTGGGTTAAATATATACTGTGGCTTGTACAACACAGCTGTGAATGGCTTACCATATGGGTCCAAATAACTAGGAAAGAAAGTCATCTAAATTAGAAAAGGACAAATCTAGACTCCATAAAATAGGTTGTAATTAGCGGCAGCACAAGCCCACAGTTAGCGTCAGTGCCAATAAACAGGAAGAGCTCTCGTCTCTCTGCAAAGGGGAGGCTCTGGCATCAGTGCTGGGTTTGATTTTAGCAGTTTTTGTGTTCTCGGGAGGGGATGCGAACACCGGCGATTTCCCCCTTCTCAGAAGCACAGCTATGGTAGGAAAACTACAGTGTGCTTTGCGCGTCTTCTACTTCTGAAATGGAACTGCTCAAGATTTCCAGCATGGCCCAAACGCTGCCATCCTGTCCCACCGGAAAGCCAGCCAGGACAGCTTCTTTTTTTCTCCCTGTACTGGGAGTTGAACTGGAGCAGAGGTGGGGGGCAGCCCCAGCCCCAGTCCCAGCCCTTTAGATTTTATTTTATTTTTTGGTACTGGGGATTAAAGCGAGGACCTTGTGCTTGCCAGGCAGGCGCTGTGCCACTGAGCTACAGCCCAGACCCAGATTTTTTGTTTTGAGACATGGTCTCCTTAAGTTGCGATCCTCCTGCCTCAGCCTCCAGAGTAGCGGGTGGTAGCTGGGTGCGTAGGTCTGTGTCTCCACGCCCAGAAAGCACAGGTACTTTCTGTCTCACCTGCACACTCACAGGTCACAGAGTAGGAACACATTTTCCTGAGGGCTACGGGGCCGGGAAGGGGAGCCTCTCCCCCGTAAGATTGGGGTGCAAGGAGCCAAACCTGGAGCAGCCTGTGGGGTGAAGGTACCATCTGCCAGAAAGGCCTTGGGACTAGGGCTGCCCGGCACCTTCCCCCTGTGCCGGGGTGGCTCAGGGACCCGGCCCTTCCGTGGCAGAGGCTGTTCTCTGTTCGTGTTAGACCCGGCTCTCCTCTCATGAGGCCCCGCTGAGTCACAGCACCGGCTCTCTCTGGGCACAGGGCCGTTTGGAATGGATTTGTGTAGCTGTGTCGGTGCTGAGCCCAGCTGGCTGGCTGTGGCGCGTATTGGAAGGGTCCCGGTGCCTTTCCCACCGCGGGCATAGCTGTCACCACCTGCCCTTCCCCGCCTTTCTGTCCTCGTGGAAAGCACTACCTCTTTTCCTGGAGGGAATCCAGATCCTGTCCTAGTTTACCCAGGGACGAAACCAGAGTCTTCTC